GACCGCGTGATGTGGATTCCGTGATTGAAGGATGAGCGGCGCTATATCCTGCCTAAGTGCGGGTTAATCACACTGCTGATCAGCCACTCGTGGACAAACGGTTAAGTGTTCAAACTACTAACCAGGATGTCGCGGGTTCGAGACTTTCCGGAGTTTCGTGAGATGCGCGCTGCTAATGATTCCCAATAAGGATGAAACAGCTGTGATCAGTGCTTCCACGCTTTTCAGCCTTACAAACAGCGCCAACTCAGCGAAAACATGTTTGATTGGTGCGCAGCAGATTGTGGTGTGTTGGTAGAGAAAACAGAGAACACCCGAACAAAAACCTGAGTAGACGGAAACAATAACAAAACCCTACCACGTAGTGGCTTCTCCAAGCACACGTCACAGTTGCAGAACATATGAAGCACGTCCTCTAAGTGAAGCATGCCGAATTACGCCATAATCCGACAAGATCACCAGAAAAAGACGTGTGGTCTATGGAATTTTTCCCGTCGACAACTTCCCTCAGCTGAAACAGGTCCCTCACGGATCCCGTGCAGAAGGTTCAACTAGTACAAGGTTTAACATTCGTCAAGATAAACAGAAGACGAAGGAACAAACTTACCGTCATCATATCATTGCATTTGGGATCTTGGACGCCATCATTGTCTTTCACGTAGAATTTTCGCAAAAAGTTGAAGGCAATCACCGTGTACAAGTAGATCACAATGGAGGTCAACATGACAGTCAACACGAGCTGAAAGTGGGGAGGACAACGGGACAATAGACGGCGAAACTAGTCTGAAATGAATCGAGAGTGGGTGATTCGTTTTTCAAACATGTACAACCCTCGGGTACAACTATGGTCAGACCGGTGGTGATATTCCAAGACTCTCTCAGGTTGACAGCGGAGAGGTCAAAGACAACACAGAAGACAGACAGCAAAAGAAGACTGACAACAGGCTGCACAATGAGCTACCTGAAATTAAGCTTGATGACTTCTTCAGAATGAATGAATCGGCCATCTGCTTCAACGCCAGGCTTAGATATCTCAATTTTGCTTACTCGGATGCCTTAATGTTGCTGTAATTCCCCACATGTTGGAGAATATTCTGGGCGGTTTCGTCATAAAATTAAGTACAACTGTTTTCCATCAGTTCAGTTTCCTTGCCCTCCTCAAATTACGTGATTCCACAAATCGATAGCTTGTCGGAAGGTAGCAGTAATCAATCACGTGATATTCTTTAGTCGAATCATCAACGTATAACTTCATTCTCCGGGCTACGGGATGAACACCGCTCAGACGTCACAGATAGATCTTAAAAACCAAACCTGGAAACATCAAAACCAAGAGATTTAGCTGGGTTCCAGGTGGGTCTCTCGAAAAACCAGATTTATTCGCAAATTTCATGCAATTTCGGTTCATAAGGTTGAGCTAAGAAGGGGGAAGTCGGTCGTG